GCAAGGTCGTGAGTTCGGTTCCCGGTACCGGAGAAAAACCAAAAAAAAAAAAAAAATAGTTGGCTGTATGTTTGCACTGTTTTTGGTTTCATTTTTATATTTTATTTTGTATTTTACGATGCTGGAGATGGAACCCAGGACATTGGGCATACTAGGCAAGCGCTCTACCACTAAGTTACCCCTTCAGCCCCTATGTTTGTGTTTTAAAGGAATGTGACTGAATGTATGGGTTTTTCATTTAACAGAAATGTACTGAGTTTCCTCTTAGATTCTACTGGCACCTACATTCTCTGGGAACTAGAACTGAGGAGTGAGGATAGGGAAAGTTACAGAGATGAATTAAGATGCCTTGTTCTCAAGGAACAAGAAGAAAAGATAGGTACACAAAGTCCCTGGGAGTGATTCATTTAATGTGCTAAGTACAAAGAGAATGATTATGTCTCTCAAGGGAGGATGAAGGATATGTGCCTAGAGATGGCAGCTATAATGTAGGTGCTAACTCTAGTTAACGGGGAGATTGGGAGACTGGCAAGGCAGAGACTTATTTGCAGGATCTGGGGGTGGCATCCTGAGAACAGAAGTGATGGGAGAGGTTAGGGAAGGAGGAAGGGGAAACAGGCTGTGGAGGAAATAATGACAAGACTTGGCGTTTTGCAAATGACCGGATTTCAGAGTAGGGTGAGGGAGGAGGAGAAAGCAAGGACAAGTTCTCTGGAATGCAAGTGGAGGAACACAGAAGGGTAGCAGTAGAGTGCAGGAGCAGATGGAGACGAGCTGGAGTTGGTTTGCCAGCAGAGCACATGGTAGGAGATTGATGGCAGCGGTTACTAGTGAGGGGCTGCAGAACAGAAGGGTGTGTTGCAGAAGTCATGAGAGTGGGAAGCCGGATGAGGAGAGGCAGGAGTTCAGAGGAGGTGTAGGAGAGGGATGTCTGCATAACCCGGTAGGAAACTAGATAGAACAGTGAAGAGGTGACACTTGATGAGCTTCCTTGGTGGCAACAGTGTCACAGTGAGAGTAGGAGAGTCCTGACAGGGCACGGTGGGGAAGCGGGGCCTGATGCCCCTGGGGTAGACGGAAGACTAGGGAATCGTGAGAGTGGTGGTTTTTGCCTGTCCATTTAATAAGTTGTCTGAAAAATAGTTGAAAGTTTGTGTCAGTGAGAGATTGGCAAGTGAGCGCTTGGGATCAGTGCTATGGACTTAGAATAGTTGAAGTGAATGAAATCCACCAGGACTGGCTGATTAAACAAAAGCACAGAAGACAAAAATAGAAATTTGAAACTAGGAAGCTAGAGGTAAAAGAGGAACTGTGAAGTATTTCTTGGACTTTATGGAAGAGTTGGCTATAAATATCATGTCACACAAGGTGTGACTGAAAAATACAGTGAATGTTTAAAAAAAAATAACAGTAAGAGACACATTACTATTGATGCCTGCCCTCAGTAGTCTCTCATGCTTTGAACACACTGATCCCATCATTCTTGCCACTTTCTGAAGCAGTTCTGGAAGTCCTTTTTCATGAATGTCTTAATTTGGTTGTGCTGTCAGAGCTGACTCATTGTTTTGAATTGATTCAAAGCTTTTATTTTCCATGGTTATTGAGGAAGAGCCAGAAGTTGTACAGTGCCAGATCCAGTGAGTAAGGTGACTGAAGATGTGGCATCAGGTTTTCACAAGCTTGTCTTTCTGTTGGATGGCACCAGGCAGCAGCATTCTCTGTATTTTTTATAGCACCTTATAAAGACATTCATGAAAGAGTACTTCCAGAATGGCTTCAGAAGTTAGCAAAAATGATGGGCTAAGTGTATTGCAGGTGAGGAGGAGTATTTTGGGTGGGGTTCATGGCAATGTGTATTTGACTGTGACAACTTTTTTTTTTTAAAATTAAGCATTTACTATATATTTTGATTACATATCATATCATAGAAACTCTGGAAAAGAGGTTTTAAAAAGACGCAGTAACAATGTCAAATAAGGCTGATGGGAAAAGGAAGGTGAGAACTGCTAAAGTGTATTGAGTGCAAGGGATCAGATGTGAGAAGGGATGAGGTGTGGGCCATGGAGCCAGCTCTGTTCATACGTGACACTCATTTTAGTCAGCTCATCTGTGTTAAAGGTGTTCACTTTACCGTCATTCCTTTCTATCTGTGGTTTAGTTTTTCTTAATCTTTATTAAGTCTCTAGGCTTTGTGTTTCCATGGTCTTTATTCCTTTCATATATCTCCCTGACTTCAGGATCTTCTAGATACAATAGTACCCTAGAGATTTTTCTCTCTTGCCTAGCTTCTGTATCTATGAATCAGGCTTGAATTAAAACCCGAATCACTCTCTGAGGGTCCTCAGCTAAAAAGTGTAATTCTGGGAGTAATTGCTTTTCACGCCTTGACCTACTTCAACAATCCCTTTTTGGTCTGATCTGTAGCCCCAATGAAACTTAAGACCAAAACCTAACCCTGGTGTCATGCTTTGCTTTTCAAGGTACAAGTAGGAAGATTTAGGGCTTGGAGACTCCCTAACAGGGCCCCATCCCATATGGTGTCCTGGGAGGTCTCTCGTAGCTAGAAATGTAAAATCTTCATCTTATGGGGAAATGTTTGTTCTTAGCCTTCCTTTGTGATTTGCCTATGAGAACATGTTTGCCCCTCAGCTCACAGCTAGAGCCAGCAACAGTGGAATATCCCTGCCAAGGCCTAGGACTTCTGTACCATGGGACTTCACCATAGTCCCCATCACCATTTCTAATATTACTGAAAAGGAGATTGACTCAGGCTGTGCAGAATACCCCCAAATCGTTCAGTTCCTACATGACCTTGGTTCTTCTGGAGGATGTTACGTTAAGTGAAAGAAATCCAACCCAGAAAGACAAGTACTGCATATTTTTCCTTTATATGGAGGCTAAAATATTGACCTCAAGGAAATGGAGAATAAAGGAGAGAGCATGGGAAGGGTATGATGGAGAGAACATGGTCAATGGGTACAGAGGTGCAGTGGGGCAAAGAGAATAACTTCATTTCTGGTAGCGAAGGTCAAATGCAAGCCTCAAGCATGCTGAGCATGTGCTTCACCACTGAGCTACACCCTGGCCCCACAAGAATGACCTGTAATGTTCTACAGATCAGGAGATTAGCTGTGGTCAACAGCAGTTAATTGAATATTTCAAAATAGGTAGTAGAGAGGATTTTGCATGTTTCTAACATACAACAAAAATGATACACATCCAGAGGGATAGATAAGCCAATTGCCCTAATCAGGTCATTATGCATGGTATGCATATATTGAAAAGTCACACTGTACCCCGTAACTATGTACAGTTACTGTGGGTCAACTAAAAATGAAAATACATTAAAATATTTAAATAAATAAAAAGTAACTTTAAAAAAGGGAAAAAAAGAGAAATTAATTTTCTCTCTCCCTTCCACACCCACTGTATTCATAGTGGTAGGCAGAGGTAGCCATGGGATTCAGGAAGTGGTGGGTAGGGGGAGGTCACAGTTGTGGGAGTTCACTCAGAGCTAGAGAAGCCCTCAGGAGGGACCATGGGGACAGTGTCTGGATTCACTAACAGGACAGACAGATCAGCTTTGTGCCCTGGGGCCAGGATCCCAGGGGCAAAGCTCAATGGAGGACTAGAGCTCTCAGCTGACATGGGAGGGCAAGGAAGCCTCATCCTTTAGGGAGACTTAGGCTTTATAACATTCATTCCTATTTAATCTAAAATAGCTTAATTTTCCTAACACTTCTGAGGGCATTGCTCCTGTTACCACTTTACAGACAAACTAGTTGGGGTTCGGCAGACTGCAAAAATAAAATGATGGACTGCAAAAATAATAGGTTATACTGCAGACAGGTGGACACAGGTAGGATCTGAGCTGGCCTGCCTGGTTCAGAATCTCTTTCCAGGTGCCCTGTTGCCCTTCAGAGGGACAGGAGTAGACCATGGCTTATTTTGTTGTTTGTTTATTTTTGTTTTGTTTTCCAGTACTGGGGATTAAACTCAGGACTTTCACAGTGAGCTACATCCCCAACCTTTTAAAATTTTTATGTAGAGATGGGATTTCACTCAGTTGCTAAATTGCTCAGGTTGGGCTTGAACTTAAGATCTTCCTGCCTTCGCCCCCTGGAATGCTGAGATTAAAGGTGTGCACCAGCACACCTAGCTCCATAATAACTCTTTAAATCCAGGACCCCATATTCTCCTTTTCTGATTGCCCTTCCTCTCTTCCCCCTCCATTTTTGTCTGTAATTTGTTGTTTTGGTCAATACACCCGTCTTTATCCCAGGAGACAGTGTCTGTTTGCATGCAAAGCAGAGAGTTTTGGCATCTCTGGGTAAGCCAGAGTGTCTCTTCCCTGCATTCCTTCTATGTGGGGGGTGGGGCAGGTGGTGCACAACTGTGGTTGTCAGGGCAAGAACACAGCTGCAGTCACCTGCCAGTTGATAACATGGCACATGGTGTCATGGTCAAATTACCCAAGTGTGTCCGGTTCAAGCTGCTGCAAGACTGGCATTATCAGGGCCACATTTGGGAGAAGAATTCTATGTACTTTGTAGGAACAGTTTTGCAATGCTTCACATTGCATTTGCCACATGTTCTCATAAAAACACTATGAGTCTAAGCCACAAGGTTATGGCATGCATGCTGTGTGGGAGGGGTTCTGGGTACACCTTGCTCTTGCAGCCTGCCATTGCCTGTTAGGTCTTTGCACACGGCTACACTGTCATCCTCATGTTAATAAGGCACAGTTAAATATGATGCATATTTTGTTTATTAACAATGCTAAGTATAGGAAAAGGACCACGAGGGCAATATATCTTTAATAAATTTGGTAGTAATGCCTAAGAGATTCTTACCTTCAGAAAAGTAAGACACTTATTGGTAACAGCTAAGAATAGATTCTCCTTGCCACGTTTTAAAAATAGGTAGCTTCTTTTTAAAAAGCAAAACAAAATAATGAAATGAAACTAACTCATAGTATTTCCCTTTTTGTTATTTTGCAGAAAAAACCACTGTCTGCAATAATAAAGGAAGTCTGTGATGGGTAAGTGTTGCTTCATGTTCATGTAAAGCATGAAGGCTTATAATTTGACAGGCAAAATTTCCAGCGGGATAGCAAATATTATTCATTGTATCATAAATAAATATTGATTACAAATAGTATTCACAACTCACCAGTTGACCTGGCCAAATCACTAAGAAATACTATTTGAAAGTTACATATCCTTTTCTACCAAAATTTTGCCAATAGTTCTCCCAGGGCATAAGTGTGAGGTGGCTAGGAGCACGTGGGGATGGATTTACTTAGTCTAGAAAGTGGTGTTCTTTTTGTGCCACCTAATAGGGAGCAGTCTATTGGCTCCTGAGTTAGATACAGACCCTGTGTGATACAAACTGGAAGGATCCCTGAGGTCTCCACAGAATGTGGACAAATTTTTAAAACTCTACCACCATCTGTGGGTAGTGTCACTGCCACGTGGAATTTCACACTGATGTGGCTTTCCTACTTCTCTTCAGCTGTTCTGCAATCCAAAGGAAAGCACATATGAAATTTGCACGAGATCTTTCGATTTACAAAGCAGGCTGGGAACACTGTATTGGAATTTATATAAGACCTAGAATACTTAGTTGGAGTATTCCAGTCTGCATCTAGTGTACCAACTGGGAACTCTCGAATTCAGAGACAGTTGAAATGGACCAGTTATCAAAAATGTAAATTGTCGCCATTCTTTTGTTTTCGTCTCTCTGCTTCAGTCCTTCAAAATAGCGAAGAACGTTGCAATTCGTATTTAGATCTCTCACCTCAAGATTGAAGATGAGTGCTTTGAGTGTTAGAATAAGCCTGGAACATTTACATATGAAATGACTGATCTCAAAGTAGTGAAGGCAGACTGGTGCCATTCTGTTTTGGGAGATGTATTTATGTTAGGACTATCCTGATTGTAATCACAGGCTATTTAATTCATCTAATTCTATAAAGCTAATAGAAATGAAAATCATTATTTTTGTTGTTCTGATCACTTTATACTTGTATTTTTAAGGTGGTCTCTTGAAAACCATGAATACTTCGCACTGCAGCATGCTGATAGCTCAAACTTCTATATCACAGAAAAGGTAGGTCGACCATGTTATTTAATCTGAGAAAGCTATATTTAAGTAAATCATGGCTGATATTTCCTCAATTCAAGACTAGACATGATAGCCTAAATTTTACGTCTTTGCCATCGATGAACATAGGGTCTATAATGCAAATAACTACTGCTTTAGTACCAGGAAAATGATACTTAACCCATTCAAGAGTGAAGACCAAATATCTTTCCCAGTCCTGTTGAGCAAACTGCATTTGCATTCTAGTGGTGAATATGTTAATGATCTCTCTTTCTTACTGCTTGCTTAACAAATTTATTTGATACTTAATGACTTAGCTCTCTTTTCCTGGATATTTTTTCCTCCCCCATTTTTTTTTTTTTTTTTTTGGTTTTTCTCCGGTACCAGGAACTGAACTCACGACCTTGCGCTTGCCAGGCAAGCGCTTTTGCCGCTGAGCTAAATCCCCAGCCCTCCTCCCCCATTTTTAAAGTTTTTGCTTCAAGTGTTTGAGACAGTGACAAGACACCTTTTGAAATGTGGCATTGTGTGGGCAGTGAGAGTGTTCTGTGACTCTTGGAGACCAGCTTTCTTCTTGGGTGACTTTACTGTTTTTAGTAAGTTCAAATGACATGACATGGGGAGAGATTCTGAAGACTACAGTGGCCCTGGAAGGAATTAAATTAATATCTGAGTGCTCCCTGGTGGGGAAAGGGAACTATATTGAACACCAGACTGCATACCAGAAATTGAGCTAGGCGATTTCTTTTCTTCAAGTCTAATCTGTGATGTGAAAGTATTTTGTGCATGCGTGTGTACATGCATGTGTGCATGCATACGTGTGTGTGTGTGTGTGTGTGTGTGTGTGTAACGGATAAGAAGCTGAATCTTTGAGGTCAAATGGCTAGACTGATGCTACATCCATGACTCTATAGTTAAGAAGCAAATTTAGATCTTGTGCTTTTATGATTTGTCTTGGAAATCTCTCAGTTTAGTATTTGGCCCAGTTTGTGAGAGAGCTCACTGAGATGCATAGGGAACAGTAACTGCTTTCTTGGAACAGAGAGAAGAAGCGGCTCAGTGTCATGAGGCAAAGTGGCTGGTGCTGAATCAGAAATAAGTGGCAGCGCTCCGGGAGAAGGGAGAAGGGAGAAGGGAGCATTTGTTGACCTCAGTTTCTGGTGCACTTACTTTGTCCCAGTTGGTGCCAATCAGTAGTCCCAAGAGTGGCTGTAGTGTGTGTGTGTATGTATGCTATTCGGGATTGACCCCAGGATCTTCACACTGAGCTACATCCCTAGCAAGCTTTTTTTTTTTTTTAAATTTTAAGACAGGGTCTCACTAAGTTGCCCAGACTGGGCTTGAAGTTGTGATCCTCCTGCCTCAGCCTCCCAGAGTGTACCGCCACACCCAGTTTAGTGGCTATACTTTTATCCATGAATGCAGTGGAGGTGAAAGGGAAAAGAGTAAGAGTGTCCCGCTCCCACCCATGCCTCATCTGTTATGTTAGACAGTGATTGAGCCCTCATTTAGCAGCAGTGGGCTCACCAAGGCCTCAGAAAGCTGCTTGGAAATTGCTTCATTCTCCTAGATGGGCACTGGGAATTTCATACCTTCTCATTTTGCTCTCCACTCTGATTGCTAGAAAGCTGTGCATGACTGAGAGGACTAGATTTCCTGGAAGGCTGTGGTTGCATGCATTAAGTTTACCTTTGATTCATTTGATTCAGTCCATTAACATTCGGTTTCCTGTCTTTATTTTCCCTTTGTTCCATTTTCTTAATAGCTGTCCTTTACTTTATACAAACTCCGCATGTTATTTTTTGAGATAAAACAGATGTAAATAAGAATTAAATGTTAGCAGTTAGCTGTATTGCCATGGTTTCGTTAATTAACCATGGGTATGGGAATCAATTCATTTGGTTTCGCCAGCACTGAAAATGAGAATAGTTCAGAGACTATCACTTGTGTTGTTCTTGAAATGTATGTTTCACTCACCTACATATACAATGCATATAGATTGTACTGGAGTTGTATCCTGGATTGTGGTCAAAAAGCCATTGAGTCAGGAGTAGTCCTATCTTTGATTACAGTGAGCTGGTGTGTGTACCTTCCTGGCTAGTGTGTCTCTTGTCACCGTGGTCTGGACACCTCTTCTTACTGGAGATCAGTAAGGGTGGGATTCTCAGATGTCAGAAAATGTGAGCTTTACAGACTTTAGCTGGGAGTGGTGGCTCCCAGTAATCCCAGTGTCCTAGAAGACTGATACAGGAGAATAGCAAGTTTGAGCCCAACATGAGCAATTTAATAACATAGCAAGACCCTGTCTCAAAATTTAAGAACAAAAGTTAAAAAGGGCTGGGGCTGTTGCTCAATGACAAGACCCTGGGTTTAACTCCCCGTACTGCAAATGAAACAAAACAAAACAAAATAAAAAAATAAAATAGAAAACACAGATTTTCAAATCTCTACTTGGAGATTTATACTGCATAGTCCTTGGCTGTGTCTTTTTCTTCATTTGAAGATGCCCTGCAGTGTCTTCTGAAGCAGGACACTGAGGTGCCCTTGGGGGAACACATCCAGGGTCTCCTCTCTGAAGAGCAGGTTGCTGCATACCCAGTGTGGTGCTCTGGGGCAGAAGTCACCACAAAGTTTGATTGAGAATGTTTGTGCCCTGTTCATTGGTTCTTGGAATAATTTAAACATTAATAATATCATGTATAATCCTGCTTCCTTTTTCCTAGTTAAAATTCATATATACTCAGAAAATTTGAACTACTGAGAACAAGGGTCAATTTATTATTTAATGAGGCATCTTAGTCATTTTCTGGGAAGTCTCATTTTGTGTAAGAAATTCTGAAGGAAGGCTGAGTTTCGCAGAGACTGGCCACCTACACCTGGCCTTTCGTCTTTGGTCTTCCACAAGTGGTGGCAGAAATTATTCTTTTATTAGGAGTTCAGGGAGTCAGAACACTCAGTTTCCTAATCACAGCCCTTTTGTTTGTAAATAAAATGTCATGTCCTCCTGCTCAGTTGTGTGTGTGTGTGTGTGAGAGAGAGAGACAGACAGACAGACAGACAGACAGAGCTGAGCACGCACAGGACGGGGACAAGGGTAAATTCTGGCTTCTTGGAGCCAGACCTGGTCTCTCCTGGGCCTGCTGGTTCAGTCCATCTAGTTTTTTGCAAGTATTCCTAAAAATAGAGACCTTTTTCTACACTAAAATAATGTAGTCAGCATGCTCTTGGCTACTTACAACCCAAGGAGTTGTTAGGTAATGTTTGTGTCACCGTGGTAACCAGAGACTAATTTTTGAAACTTGTGCATGCTGTCAGTAACTGACTTCCACTTGCACATGAGATGGTCTTCCTTCCTCTACCAGAGATAGAAATCACCTGTCATGTCAAAGGGGATAAATTCTTCAGCTCAGCTCCAGCTTAACAACGATATAGTGACTGAGGGATGCTGGTGATTCTCTTCTAACATTCTCAGGAAGACACTTACCCTATTTTTCTCAGATTATCCAAACCCATTTTGAGCAATACTTCATTTGCTTGTTAAACCACTGACTTAGGTTTTTCACTGCAGCAGGGAAAATGTCACAGTAAGTAGCCTTGTGCAGAAACATACCTCATGAATGCCTTGGAGAAAGTTAAGATTCATGTATTTGAAAGTTCTGAGACATACATATCTGTGTGATATCAGACACAGAGAGAAAGAGAGAGAATAAAAATTAAAAAGTAAATTATGTGTTTCTGTGAAGTTTCTTTTGGTGAAGAATTGTAAAAAGGATCAAGATGCAGTATGTTTACTGGCCAATTCCCCGTTGTGAGTGTATTTGTTATGTGTCATAAACATATACAAATAAAAAAAAATTGTAGGGAGAGAGTGCTCAGGATTTAGTACTATCATCATAGTCTAAAGATGTAGGCATTGTCTTTCATTTTCATAGGGAAGTGAGATAGAGAGAATTTATACCAAGTTAGCTTGTGTCGGTCACACGGATCAGAAGGGGCCAAGCTGAGGCTTCAACCCAGGTGGGTTTGACTCAGAGATCTCCATACCACCTCCTCCAAGTCACCCCCCAGCTACTCAACTGTTAATGTTGCCATGTCTTTGCTGATCTCAGTCCCCGGGATCCTAACGAAAATTACCTCAAGAAATTAAACACAGGAAGTTACGGGCTGTGAGACCTGGTTCCCAGTTTCAGTCTGTAGGTTGCTCATGTGGCTAAATTAGGGGAAGTCGGAACAGGTACTGATCTTCCACTCACCAGGGATTTTTGATGTCTTTGCCTTTGCTGTGGATTGTGCCACTGTCTGTCGGAGTATGATTGCATTGATATCGTTAATGTCGTTTTCAGGCAAAAGGGAAAATTGCCTTACTCTGTTTAGCCCTCCATGTGCAGAAAGGTGGGTCCCCAGAAAGTACAGGGCATGTTGGAGGAACCATTCTGAGGCAGATAGAGTACTTGTGGATGGCTGAGGTTTTCTGCTGTGATCCCAGGGTACACAAAGTAGAGTGATGTAGCAGCAGTATCTCACTTCCATGAATTACTTGTCTCATAATCACAGAGATAAGCTAAGCCTCATCCGGGTCTTCTTTGCACAGCCAGCCCCAGGGCCTTTGGGAGGAAGTGGTGTCATTTTGGGAAATGTCTTTCCTGTCTTTGGTACTTCATGAGTGTTCTGGACTGTCACAAAGCCCTTGAACTTCCCAAAAACCCTGGGCTACAGGACTGTGTGGTGCCTGGGATGAGGAGAAATTATTGCGTGGAATTTCCTTCTGTCTCCATGATGGATCCAGACTCAGAGATGAAGAGGGTGAAGGCCTGAGATGGAGAGAGAAAGCTTCTGGTCCTAACTTCCATATTGTCTTTCTGTTTCCAGTCTCTGTGTCCTCCTATGAGAAAACCTGCCTTCTTTCCCTTGACTAAAACTCCTTTATGATCATCTTTGTGATTCAATCTATGATGGGCATTTTAATTGAACAAATGTAAGCCCAGGGAAGTGATAAATTTCCTAAC